TTGTTTTATTTCAGATGCAGTTTTTACGAGGCAAGAGACTTGTGAATTTAGTTAATCACAATTATGCTGCTGCAACTAAGACCGTTACTGGTGTGTTTAGCAGAAAGTAGAAACTCCTGGTCGTAGTATTTTAACTTTGTAGTTGTTAACCGTTGAAATGGAAAAAAAACTACTTATTTTTTTAACGTTAAAACGTACGTTTAAAAAGCGTGCTTGTAAAGAGCTTTTCACACGCTTTTTAGTTTGACGCTTAAAAAGTCGTTTAGAAAAACGTTTATGCTTACATGAAAAGCGTACTTATGCTTATTTTAAAAAGCAGACTTTTTAAATGCTTTTCGTCAGTGTTGGGCGTTAATCAATTAAATTTCAATCAATAATTCAATCAGATCAAAAAATCAATTAAAAAAAATTGCAATTGATTTAATTGCAATTGATTTTAATTGCAATTGATTTTAATTGCAATTGATTTTAATTGCAATTGATTTCAATTGAATTGAGTTTAATTGCAATTAAATTTGCAATTAAAATCAATTCCGGCCGGTTGGGGTCCCCGGTTGAGGGCCCGGTTGAGGGGCCGGTTGGGGGGCCCGGTTGGTGGCCCCGGTTGGGGGGCCCGGCTGGGGCCCCCGGTTAGGGGCCCGGTTGGAGTCCCCGGTTGGGGGCCCCGGTTGGGGGCCTCGATTGGGGGGCCCGGTTCGGAGTCATCAGGCCCTTAACTGGCCCCCGAACTGGGCCTCCAACCGGGTCCCCCAACCGGGCCCCTCCAACCGGGGGCCCCAACCGGGCCTCCAACCGGCCCCCTAACCTGCCCCCAGCAGGCCCCCAACTCGGGTGAGTTAGGGCGTTGCCCATATGCCCTATAAGTTTTAATTGTTAATTGTTAATCAAAAACATTGAAAAGATTGAAAATTGATTAATTGTTAATTGTAGATATTTGCGATTAACGATTGATCAATTGTTAGTTGCGAAAACCGCAATTAACAATTGATTAATTGTTAATTGCGGTTCTCGCAACTAACAATTGATCAATCGTTAATTGCTGTTTCGCAATTGACAATTAATCAATTGTCCATCTTTAATTGCCAGAACAATTAAATTTTGCCCAACACTGCTTTTCGTTTAAACGCCCACCTCTATACAAGATACTTAAATATAGGATACCACGATTCTGTTGGCCACAAAGGCACAACCACAATTCCTCTGTGTATTATTTTTCTTAAGGTTTTCAAAACCATTGAACAAGTTGGGAATGCGTAGAAAAAAGAACAGCGTCCATACTATTGAAAACACGCTAATGGCATGCGTGTAACACGATCATAAGAAAGAATAAGCTAGAACGCTACGCTCCAGATGCGTAGGTTTATGGGAACTGCAGAGACGCTTCGGCGTCGAGAAATGAGCGTGCCTACAGCTCCGCCACCAAAGAGATTTGACTTAGAGTCGACGGCTTAACGGTGGCAACTGCGCAACTAAGTGAGTGTGCCTTCAGCTTCGGTACCTATCTGGGATTATTTTCCAAAGGGTGCTGTACGTGTACCCGGGGCAGCTCACCCAAGGCACTACCTAGCCTTTTGAGAACCGGATGAAGTCCGTGCAAACGGGCTGATCTGGGGCTAAGACCTGACTGAGAAGGTCATTGTGCGGGCTTGCTCGCACAGGTTGTACTGCCCTTCCCGTATAACCAAGAGGTTGATATGGAGCGTCACTATAAACAAAGCTTATGTGTAGAAGGATATGGGGGCTGTTTGCACAGCTAGACGAGAACAATGAATTGGTAAAAAATTCTCAGAGATCTGGGTAAAATAGCCCTCAATTATTTGATAATGAAAATTTCGTTGACACTCCCGCTGATCCTTATGCTAAAGACAATAACGATTCCGATTTTGACTGGACGCCTCCTGAACAAAAACTTCACAAGGAATAGATCACTTTAAATAGTACACGTACGTGACTCCGAATTATCAGGAATTATTGCACCATGAAAAAATAATTTAAAAAAGTAATTTTGAACATAAATAGAAACTACTTCATAAATTTTGTAGCAACAAAAACAAAACAAAACTTATTTTTTAACAAATGTAACCTTTGTCGGTATCAGTCATTCCATCACACGGCCGGTACTATAGCATAGGACGTAGCTCAGAGGAAGAGATACTTTTAAATATAAACTGGGAATATCTTCATAAATAAATATTTATTACGTATTTTACATGTTGTTTTCTGGAGGCTTCTTCTAGAACTGCCAAGTTGTTTTTCTTTTTTTTTTTAATTTATTAAGACTTTGGCAAGCCATCAGCCTAAACATGAAGTTTAATTATGTTTCTGTAAATATGGCCGCCACAAAGAGGATAGGCAATTTGAGGCGGCGTCATTGACTTACAAATAAATGGACGACGGGTCTAATACAAAAACCACGAAAAAAATGTCCCAAGTCAACCTATTCGAAATTTAAATTGTTATGTCATCGCAGTATCGCGCTGTCCGTAGAACAAATGAAGACTAAAGCGGAGTGTCGCGCTCTGTATACGATTTTAGCGCCTTACAAGTGCGGACACTTTTTAGCGCGGACCCGACGTCCATATAATTGTAAGTCAATGGGCGGCGTGCTTAGATTGACTCGGGATTCCTTAAAACGGGCCGATACGGGTATTTTAGTTCGAGATTCGTATAATTTCGCGTTTTAATCTTCGATTAAGGCACAATAGCACTATCCTATTCCACTTTAAACTAGATTTCACAAAATAATTGAAAGTCAAAATAACGACAACGACAAAACGACACTTTTCCCTCCAAAAGGTCCAGAGCGAATACTGCCAAGTTGTTCTTCTTTTTTCTATCCTATTTTTGAAAATACATTCTAAACACAAACCTATATTCATTCAGCCAGTACTTCTACTTATAGAGTAGAGCCTAGACTACATGCCTTTTCCTCACAACTGAAGGGGTGAACATCCCTAGCTGGTGCCTTATCTATTCTATGATATACAACTTACATAAGTGATCAGTCTTTATTATAGGCTAGCCACACACTGCTCGGAAGCTACTACCTTACCAACAAGCAAACCACCGAGGAGGCTGTGGCTTTAGTCTGCCAAAAACCTATCTAAAAGGACAGACCATGACCTCATCCTAATCAAACAATTGAAAATATAATTATTCGTTCACTATCCTAGCTATTTAGGTAACCTATCTAAATCCTAACTCTTTTTTTTAAATTTCAGCTACCCTAGCTTGGCTGAATGTTCGTAACAAATCCTTAAGCATCACTACTAGAACTTCCTGGGGAACATCAATATTGACTTCCCAGCTGCCTTAGTCCTTGTCCTGCAGCTCCACGTTCCACCTAACTTCTTCTTCCTCTTCTTCGTCTTCTTCCTCTTCTTGCTCTTCTTGCTCTTCTTCCCCTTCTTCTCCTTTCCCTTCTTCTCCTTCTTGCCCTTCTTCCCCTTCTTGAAGTGAAAATCGTTACGCACAACGTTTAAAAAATAATCAGTTTTTCCCATTTCTAATGACTACAAAAAGAACCAGTGCGCGTCCGCACGCGGAGCCCCGCGGGGCTACAGACTACTTACAGTCGTCATCAAATAAGAGCACACATTTAACAGTTAAAAAATGCTATAGTATGTAACTTTGAATGCGATCAACGAAACAATAAACAAACAATTATTAGTATAATTGATTTTACAAAATATATAAATTTTAAAGCAATATTATATAATATAACAAAACATATTTGAAGTACTGTTTTCGCACGAATTACAATATAAATGCAATTTTTACGTCCTAAAGCAATTTTTTTTTAAACAGTAGTGTTATAAGCAATTAATTGCCGAATTTCACCGAGTCACTTCGATTTCTCGGAAAAAATATTGCTTATTAAATATTAAAACAAAAATATATAAAAATATTTTAAATAATTATGTATATAACATCACTGACCACACTTATTGCAAATTAATTTATAATTTATCAAATTTATAAGAGCCCCGTACACCTAGCCAGATTTGTATTTCCTTTTCGTTTTGCGAATTTTGAATTGTCGACACTGATACCAATCTAACGGCACCCGGAGTTCGCGCCCACGCACCGCGCAGTCTTGGAAGTTGACCGTACGCTTGGTTTTTTTTTTGTATTTTTCTTATGACTCGGCTTTGCTTTTGGACTGTTCTTGGTTTCTAAATTATGAACATCATTTGAGGTTGTTTGTTGTTGACATCGACAACTTTTAACTAATTGCCAGCCGAATAATTGAAAATTCATAAAATCCTTGGTTTCTTGGTAATTGAATATTTTCATGTAGTTGTTTTATCGATGAACATACTTATTTACATTAAATTCTTGTAATAAACCATTTATGAATATTATAAAATCAAAATTAAAAGAATTGGATACAATTCATCGGAATGTCGGTTTTTCACAGAATATATTTATTTTTACAGAATATATTATTATACTGGCGCAGAGTCAAAGCGTCGCGTTGCATCGTTTTCAACTACAAAAAGGCGAAGGCGCGCGTCGTCGCGCGATTCCGTATTTGTATAACACATATTTGTACCTTAATTATGGGAAAATAGAGATGAATATGCTATACATATGAGAAAAACATGATGCGTCGCGACGTTTCGACTCTGCGCCAGTGTGAGTTGGGAGTGTGAATAGGATCTTATCAGATGACTGATTTAACTCAACCGATTCAACTACACCAACGCCTCCTTTCTCTCCCAGTTTGAGCTGTGAAAAGCGTTTAAAAAAGCACGCTTTTTAATAAGTAAAGCGCATTTTAATGTTTTAAAAAATAAGCTATTTTTCCCCATCTCTCCCTTTTGTATTCTAAAACCACGGAAGAAAGAAAATATATTATGTGGTCTGTGCATGGTCTGTGTCTAAAACCGATGTAAAAAAAATTGTCTAAGTCTAAAACGAACAATCACTGATTTCACATTGATTGCACTATTTTACATTGACATTTGATTGTTTGACATTTGACAGAAGACAACTTGAGAAAGCCTAGTGTGTACACCGTTGTGAATGATTGTATTTTAAATAAAATTCAGTGCATAACACGAGCAAAATAAAGCCAATGTCATTAATTAAAAAGACAAGAAATGATGCAGTTAAAGCTGCCGTTACATCCTATTTAGAACGTCGCAATTATCCTGTAAATAATTTTGCATTTTCAACGTTACTGTTCGCTTGTTGAAGCATGATTTTGTGTATTGTTTTTAGTTAATTCTTTCAATTCCGTGGTTTGTAGGACATAGATATATTCAGTAATAATAACAACCTGAATCGAAGCGCTGAACAGATGGCCGTGGAGACCATAGTTCAATGTGAGGCGAGTCGCGCAAATTCTATACTTTTCTCTTGCATTAACAATGATCCGGGTCATTACGATGTGCAGTACTCGAGGTAAGTAATATATAAACTTTTCTACTTTAATTGTTCATAATATATAATAATATACATACAAAAATGGCATGAATCATTTTAATGATCATGTGGTTGTTAGTTGTTAAGTAGGTTTTGTTACCTCCTAAAATAGACTTTTTTAACAGGCAAACAAGACCGCACTTCAATGTAACAATGTGGTTGATGCTGGAGCATAATATAATATTTAGAACCAATTAGTTATTTACAATAACTATTTTTATAAAAAATAATAAAAGTAATAATAATTTCACATAAAAAATTTAATATCAATTCAATAAAAATTTGAATAATAATGATTTTTAAAAACATCAGTTTTAATATCACTCAAAACTAATACAATAAAGCAAATAAATAGCTTTTGTGTATTGTTTTATAGAAAACATCTTGTGAAGTGAAAACTGAATTTGGTTTAATAATATGTCAGCGCAAAAAGCCTCCATGTTACATTGGCTTTTTTGTTTTCTCATGCAAAACCTTTGTGTTTCACAGATTAGTCAACTTCATGAAGGAAATCAAGAGTGAAAAAATCAGAAATGAACTATTTGTTATTTTGAGTCCCTTATTATGTCACTTATACCTTGAAATGTTGAGAGGTGGTCATGGTGGTGCTGCACAGATGTTCTTAAAGCGACATTCAGCTACTTTACCACAGAAAGACTTGTCATACCACCAGCCAATAGACGGAAACCTCCCATCAGCATTATACAGACCCAACAGTCTTGAACAGTTATTTAACTCACTGCAAAATGGCACTATAGACAATGAGACACCAGAAAAAGATTATATGAACCAAATACTGGATGATATTGGATCAATATATACTCTGCAGGAGGTTGAGGCACGACCTTCCATTGCTGCATTTAGGTGACTTTTATTCATTTTCATTTATTCTTGTACTCAATCCATAAATCAGGATTTGTGCTGATAATGGAGCAAGCTTATTTATGAAGACGATGACTGTAATTGTATTTACTATGTGTATTACACTTGTAAAATATCTAAACAAAAAACAATTTAAATGTAATTTTATGGTAATTTTTTCTTACTGCTAGTATGTTATTGTGTTATATATTTAAAATAAATGTAACAATAACATATAACACTAACAGAGCCTCCATTTCAGGATCCTCAGCTTATAAGGACTATTGAGTTCTTAGGTTTTCATGATTGTTACACATAGGAAATGAAACTATTTTTCCGGATTTAAATCGCGTATATTTGTTTTTTCAAACAAACCGACGTTTCGGGCCCTTTACAGGTCCCATGGTTACGGTTGAATGAGGTGGTACAGTCTTCAACCAGTTATGTCTAATATTGATGCAAACCACCCTATTTTTTCACTATAGTT